ATCTGCCATCCATTTTCTTATTATTTAATTCCAGTATACATATATAGTGGTTTCAGAATTGTTAACCCATATCCCCTGGGAAGCAACTTTAACAACCAGAATACAGTGGTTATGTGCAGTTCCTTTTGCTTTTACTCTTCTGTATCCCACTCCTTTCCATATTACTTAGGTCGGCACCTTTCCCCTCTGTCTCCCTTCTTTCTTTCTTTTTTTTTTTTATAATTTTATTTATTTATTTTTTTCCCCCAAAGCCCCAGTAGATAGTTGTATGGTCATAGCTGCACATCCTTCTAGTTGCTGTATGTGGGACGCGGCCTCAGCATGACTGGACAAGCGGTGCGTCGGTGCGCGCCCGGGATCGAACCTGGGCCGCCAGCAGCGGAGCGTGGGCACTTAACCGCTAAGCCACGGGGCCGGCCCTCCCTTATTTCTTAATTGACTACTGATGTTGCTCCCACTGACCTCAACTTGTTGAGCCAAAAGACTAATACTGGTCTTAAACAAATTCATATTCTCTGGACACATTTCTTTGGCTGCTGCAGTCAAACATGATTTAATTTGCTACAAGTAAACGGCTTTCCTTGTCATGCTGACAAATGAACCACTCAGAAACTTACTTTGGTTGTAGCCTCATTTTTATTTTTGTGAAGATTTTCTATTGTGATGGGATACTCCGTTTTAAATTTTCTCCTTTTTCTAACAGTTGGTTTCCTGTGAGTTGGGAATATTATGAATGCTTACTTTGGTAATGTCGACGTACATTATATTCTTGGCCACAGCTATGGTGTCATTTCATAATAAACACAGTGCTTTGCCGTCTAATTCGATAACAAAATAATCCACATTCCACACTGTGCCTTAAATGGGTAACATTCAAAGTCCACTTTTCTTATTTTGACATAGGGATATGCACTGATAATTTAAAAATAATAATGTGATATGACAGAATGCATAGTACTTGAAATACTGTAGAGTTATAACTGCGTCACCGCAATTTGTAGCTGTGCGAAGTGGTGAGACCACTGCATGCAGTCTGTTTTGCAGCTGCTCGGCTCTGCTGTCGTAGTGTGAAAGCAGCTGTCTGTAAGTGCATAGATGTTGCTGTGTTCCAATAAAACCTTTCATGGATGCTGAAATGGGAATTGCATAGAACTTTCAGGTGTCATGAAATACTCTTGATCTTTTTCAACCATTTAAAAATGTGGAAACCATTCTTAGCTCATGGGTGGTGTAAAAACACGTTGGGCTAGATTTGGCCTTTGTGCATCATTTGCTGACCCCCTAATTTAGAAGGCCTTGTGTACACTACCCATATGGATGTATCTGTCTTTCCCTCCAAAGCCATTCACTGTAATTTCACCAGTCTTGGATTCAATCTTGGTTCCTACTGATACCATGGAAGCTGCTTAGAGGAGATATTGCACAGTTTTCTGTGGTAAAACACTAAAGGTTTGTTTGGTCAACTGCCATAATTTCATCAATTCCTAGTATTTTTTTTTTCAATGGGAGTGGCTAAGGTTAAATTTTGGTATTTATTGGATACTTTGGGTTAACTTGAATAGAAGACACTGTCCTCTTTTGTTCACTTTTATTGATAACATCATGCTTTTGAAGCTAGAACACATTAGTCCTCAAGTAGTACATAAGCAAGTTGCCTGGGGGCTTAAAGGACTAGCCTTGACGTCAGGTTCTTAGGAGCAGGCAGTATCATCCTTGTGTTTCCTTATGTTCTGTATCTCCATAAAACATTACCAAGGGTGCCTGGGGAGAGATAAAAAAATTTCGAGTCTTCTTGAACCATAGGAGGTACAAATGCTATGGTCCTCGAACATTAGTGTTCACCCTTTGTTTGAATTTAGGAACTGTGTTGTTCCTTAAGGTCTAGTAGTGTATGGACCATGGGAGTATTCTGAGCTACATTCTGGTCTAAGCCACTGTTGTCCTTTACCTGGATTACTATAGACAATATCTGCCAATTTCTTCTGCCCTTGCCCCTTTAAAATCTGTTCTACACTCAGCAGCCAAAATGAGCCTTTTAAAACATAATTCAGTCCTTTTAAAACATAATTCTGGTCATGTTACTCTGCTCACAACACTCAGTGTCTGCCCACATCACCCAGAGGAAAACCAAAGTCCCTATGATGGCTTGCAGGGCCTATCCATTCAGCCAAGCCTCTGACCTGATCTTCCAGCTGCTCCCTGGCAACTTTGTGCATTGCAGCCACTCTTTTTCTCTCTTCTTCAGATATGGCAAGTCTTTTTCCTCCCCAGGGTCTTTACACTTGCTGTTTCCTTTGTTTGGTCCCCTCTGCCTTCAGATAAGGCACCGGGTATTCTTTCTTTTCTTTTTTTTTTTTTGTAGGGAAGATCAGCCCTGAGCTAACATCTATTGCCAATCCTCCTCCTTTTTTTCTCTTTTTCTCCCCAAGGCCCCAGTAGATAGTCGTATGTCACAGTTGCACGTCCTTCTAGTTGCTGTATGTGGGACGCCACCTCAGCATGGCTGGAGAAGCGGTGCATCGGTGCGTGCCCGGGATCCAAACCCCGGGCCGCCAGTGCCAGTAGCAGAGCGTGCGCATTTAACTGCTAAGCCACGGGGCTGGCCCCATACTCTTTCTTTTCAAGTCTCTGCTCAGCTGTCTCATGAGATAGGCCTTCCCTGACCACTTTATATAAAATCATAACTTTTATTCCCTCATGTGCCCCATCTCCCCCCTAGAAAGTAAGCTCCAGGAATGAAGAGTTTTTAATTGTTGAATTTCCATTGCCTAGAATAGTGCCTGGCAATGTAGTAGGTACTTAATAAATTTTTTGTTGAATAAGTGGACAATTAAAAGGGAAATTGTGTAGAAGGGGGAAAGATATATTTTCCTTGCTAATATACCGGTGTATATTAGCCGGGGTGTCCTTGGTAATATACTGGTATCTGACCAAGGGAGGTTCAGGAGATAGAGGCTGAAAAGTATGCCTATGACTGTCCAGATGACACAGGCAGGACATAAAAACTGTGGTGGCAGAGATGATTCAGGGCTTCAGGAGTTTCCTGACTGTCACAGAATAACTAAGGGCCAGAACCTCAGATTTGCTTCTCCACCCATTGTGACAGTGGAAAATTGAAGATTTGTTGGGATGATAAAATTCTTGCCAGTATCCGAGAAGAGGTTAATTAATAGGAAAGAAACATGATGGGGTAGTAAAATGGAAGATTTGCGTGTGCTTGCTGTCTGATTAGAATGTTAAGGACGGATGTATTGGAATACTGTAGTTTGTTTATTTAATTGAGTGGGTTGTGGACTGCCTCAGTCGTGAGGCAGTCATCTGCATTTCCCCAGGCTGACTGATGTGAGCCCCTGTGCCTCTGCAGTTAGAAATAGGGAAAGAAGTTTTGGCTGATGTAACCTAGGATGAATTCTAAGAATAAACTGCAAAAATAAATGTGACAGTATTTTGAAAGAACGAGTGTTTGAAAGTGCTTTATTTTTACTGTTTATCAGCTAAGTAAATATATATCAACATTGTCATTAATTTGTTAAAGGATCTGACTGAATACTAATTTCATTTGGATGAAAGTCTTACTTTGTTAGTTTTTTTTTTTTTTTTTTTTATTTTTTATTTATTTATTTTTCCCCCAAAGCCCCAGTAGATAGTTGTATGTCATAGCTGCACATCCTTCTAGTTGCTGTATGTGGGACGCGGCCTCAGCATGGCGGGATAAGCGGTGCGTCGGTGCGCGCCCAGGATCCGAACCCGGGCCGCCAGTAGCGGAGCGCGCGCACTTAACCGCTAAGCCACGGGACCGGCCCTTTACTTTGTTAGTTTTAAGAGTGGGTTTTTGTTGCCTCTTTGTAATGTCGGTTACCTGATTTCGTTTGGTGTAGGTCAAGAGGTTATTGCTTGGGTGTTCAGTTAATTCAGCAAACACATCAGTGTTACGTATATAGAGTTCGCGGAGGGGAAATTGACAAATTAACAGATACGATGAGATGAGTGTAAGGAGAGACACCTCTAGGGTAACACAGAGAAGCAGTACCTAACCCAGCTTGCGCGAGCCAAGGACAGCTTGCTTGGGAAGGAGACCCTCATAGGAATGAGTAGGAGTTGGGTGAGAGGGGAGGAGACATTCTAGGCTGAGGGTTCCACATGTACCAAGAAACTATAGCTTAAGGAAGTAGATTCCTTTCTTTGCTGGCAAATGAGGCAAGGGGTCAGCTATGTGCAAACCACAGGTTTCAGAGAAAGCTGAGGGTGGTGGGTATCTTTGAGTGAATGCTGAGTAAGCGAAAAAAGAAAAGATTAATGTCAAGACTGCATCTTCAGATTATTTGAATCTTGGGTGCCTTTCTACTTTATGGTAATATAGATGAATAATAAAGCTTTCATGAGCTAGAAGTGAGGACATTAACTACATACGTGAGCTTGCTGATCTTGGAGCTTTGTTTTCCTGTTTTGTTGGGTAACACTTCATAGTGTTGATGTATCGTCGTTTTAGTAATGTTTAGATATGGGAATTTTAAACAATTGGATCAGAAGGGTTTTTTTGTGTGTGTGCTTTGAGGGATGAGGATGGAGAGTTATTTTAACTTGAAATGTTTTTGTTAAATTTAGTTCAGCATACCTCCGTTAAGTTTTTTTGGTTTCAGGTGTCTGATTCTTCTGAAGTAATCCTCCAAGTTGAATTATGAGTTCGTGAATTAGTGTTGCATAATGCAAACCGTAGCCCCTGAAGTGTTACTGGCGGAAGTATCAGGTTACAAGAGGAAGGTTTTAGCTTTCCATACTACAGCCTTGCTGTAGGAGGTTGGGCAGATGGAAACGTGGGTGAGAGGCAGTCGGAGACCCTCAGGCTAGTGTACTTTGAGAGAGAAGCCTGTGTCCACTTACGGTGAAGTTGAGGGTTAAAGTAGAGTTTTTGCTTATACGTTTCAAGCATCTGTATTTCGAGATGCAATCTGCAAGGTTTGGATCGTTATTTTATCACTGTTTATTTCTTCTCATTGCAGAATTGTATCCTGACTTTGTAAATTGGAGAAGCCAGCAGCACTGCCAGTGTTCTTTTGAGGTAGTCTCTTTTTGGGATCTGGTGCAAGTTGAATCTTTGTTCAAATAAGGTAACTGCATGGTGGTAAAAGGAACTAATAATAACTTCATTGACTTATAAAACCAGTCTTATGTTAAGAGTTGTTTATCCAGAAGATTCCTTAATGGAAGTTCTGGATTCTTATTAAGCAGTGTTTGTTTTTCAGTTAAACAAACTGAAACAAGATGATAAAGTAGCTTTGCTCTCCCCTCTCGTTTTGTTCCAAGTTGTAGAATCAGCAGTTACTTTTTTAACTAACTTTTGAGTTCTTTAATAACACATGTTTATTCATTTGGAAATACTGAGAAAGATCATCCATGAACTTAACATATATATAATCATTGTTAATGTTTTATGAATAATCTCTTTTCATCCATGTGTTACTTGGATATGTGTGTGTTTAATCAAAATTGGGGTTGTACGTTCTTGTCACCTGGTTCTTGTTAACAAGAACAAGTTTTTTTCTGTTTCATTTTTAAATGACTCATGGCATTTCATCATGGATGTGCCGTATAATTGATCTCACTAGTTCCTTTTTGGTAGACATTTAGGCTTTTCTCTCATTTTTCCTTGTCTTAGATAAGTGTGTGATGGATATGAATAAATTCATGTATACATTTGATTCGCCCCCATAGCACATTTTCCCTTCTTAACTTTAAAAAGCATTTTATATATTCATTTGTATGTTTTTATTTTACTTTTTATTAATACATGTACAAAAACCATATATATAGACATGTCAGACCATCAGCTCCACAGGACTTTTTATGGAAAACAGCAGCCCCTCCCTGCTTCCTTCCCAGTCCCTAGAGGCAATCATTTCTAACTCTTGACTGTTTCTTTTGGTACTACCTCTAAGTGATAAGCTTATTTGTTCCTTATTCATATTTCAATTTTTGATATATTTTTTTTTTTTAAAGATTTTATTTATTCATTTTTCCCCCCAAAACCCCAGTAGATAGTTGTATGTCATAGGTTCACATCCTTCTAGTTGCTGTACGTGGGACTCGGCCTCGCGTTGGACGGAGAAGTGGTGCCTTGGGGCATGCCCGGGATCCGAACCCGGGCCGCCAGCATCAGAGCGCGCACACTTAACCGCTAAGCCACGGAGCCGGCCCATCAATTTTTGATATTATTTAGTAACTTCCCACTTTGGATAGTAGCAGTTTTTGGTAGAATCCCCTGACCACCTCCGACATCCACATTTATTGTTACGCTGGTTATAATGTCATTTGGTTAGAGCAGTATTCACTGTTGACAGTAATATGGTTATGTATAGCTTATTCGCAGCCAAATTATGTTGCATGCTATGGTTAATTTTCTTAATATTCTTATTCTTGCATTCCTGTCCTATTTTTTTTTGTTGTTGTGAGGAAGATGAGCCCTGAGCTAACATCCGTCAGCAATCTTCCTCTTTTTGCTGAGGAAGATTGGCCCTGGGCTAACATCCGCACCCATCTTCCCCTACTTTATATGGGATGCTGCCACAGCACGGCTTGACAAGCGGTGCATCCGTGCATGCCCAGGATCCGAACCCATGAACCCCGGGCTGACGCAGCGGAGCGTGCGCACTTAACCGCTACGCCACCGGGCTGGCCGCAGTCCTTCTATTTTTATTTTTTTAAGATTTAATTTAGTTTTATTTTTGTCAACATTTATGATGGATATGATATCTTTTATCTCTGAGAAAGTTAATGATAATCTTTTTTAATAGGCTTATACAGGCCTATGAAATCGACACTAATATTTTCTTTTTTAATGGCTTATTACTTTTTACATTTCTTTTTTTTTCTTCTGTGAGGAAGATCAGCCCTGAGCTAACATCCATGCCAATCCTCCTCTTTTTTGTGCTGAGGAAGACTGGCCCTGGGCTAACATCTGTCCCCATCTTCCTCCACTTTATATGGGATGCCGCCACAGCGTGGCCTGACAAGTGGTGCATCAGTGCGTGTCCTGGATTCGAACCCAGGCCACCAGCAGCGGAGCTCGCGAACTTAACCGCTACACCATGGGGCCGGCCCTGCATTTCTTTACTATATCTGGAATTTTATTTTTGTTTATGGCAAGAAGAAGAAATCTAACTTTTTGTACCAAGTTGTTAATCAGTTGTCCCAACTATTGATTTATCCTTTTTTCTAGTTATTTGAAAATCCCCCTTTGTAAGGGTGTATTACAGGGTGTGTTTCTAAACTCTGTATTTTGTACCACTTACCTGTCTAATCTTGTGCTAATACTCAATGTTTTTATTATTGTAGCCTATTTCATCTTTAAATCCTTAGTGATGCAAGCCTTTCTTCCCTCTCCAGCCTCGGCAAGCAAAATATAATTATTTCCATACTTATTTTTATCCATACAGAAATATGGCAGTTCTTCAAGAGACTTAAGTATGAGAAATTAGAAAATAAAGACTAGAAGAACATGTACATAGGAAACCAGTTGCATAATTTTTAAAATGAGTGTACTAGATTTTAACCTCTAAGATTCTTATCTTGGTCAAGGCAGCTTTTTTTTCCTCTCTTGATGGGGAGCGAGTATGTATAAAGGCAGCTTTGGAGTTTTTGATTCATTCAGTCGGTAGACGCTGGAGTGCTTGTTGCTGTGCCTATTCTCTGTGCTCGTGATATCAGCCAGGAGCAAGACAGAGAGAAGTCCTGTTCTTGGGGAGCTTACTTTCTAGTTTGGAGAGGCAGATAAAATAATTTCAGATTTTCCTAAGTGCTAGGAAAGAAATAGGATTACAAGATAACTTGGGGGTGGGGAAGCAGTAGGTTTCATTAGATAATATGCTAAAGGAAGACTTTTTCAAGTAGCTGAGATCTGAAGGATGAGCAAGGAGCCAGCCATGCTTGAGACTGCAGAAGAATGTTTATGTGGAGACACTGACAAGTGTAAAGTTGCTGAGATTGTGAATGCCTGGCTTGTTCAAGGAAGAGAAAGAAGGCCATTGTGGCTCAAGTAGAGTGATTGAGTGGGGGAAGAGTGGTTTGAGATGACATTGGAGAAGTAGGCAGGGGCCAGATCATTTAGAATTTTGAAACTGGCAAGCCAGAGCTTTCATATATAAATCTGATGAATTCAGTTTTGTTCCTTTCTTAAAAAAACAAATATAAGATGTTCTAGGAAATAATTAGACCTATTTCTATAGGTAGTTTACATGCTATTCCTGAAGGAAATCCCAGAGAGGGGAGCTGCACTGATCACATGTGTCTGAACTAAGTTCTGGTTGAGTGTTTGGATGTACCTGGGGTTGGGGTAGTAGGGTTATCTCAAATTTAGATAGCTTTGAATAGTGCCTTAATTTATTTTAAATGAAAGCAGCAGGTCAAGTTTCTTTCGTAGACTCAGGTGACTGATAAGATTCAAAATGATAGCAGATCTTGAAACCACTTTCCTTATGTAGAGTTGTGTGTGTATTTAAGACATCTCTCTTTTTTCCCCCCAACTAGTCTGTTGAAGTGTAGATGTAAATGGAAAGACAGAAGGGAGTTATCTCAACAGGAAAGTCTTAGTGGATAGAGACTAGAAACTCCAAAAATGAATGATGACTTTAAAAGTGACTAAATACTGGATCAGGTTCAAAACTTGAGCATTTGAAAAGACATAATCGCTGTTATCCTTTAGGACAGCATTGTCCTAAAGAGAAGTCTAGCGTGGGCCACATGTAATTTCAAATTTTCTAGAGGTGATGTTAAAAAAAAAAAAGAGTGGCCAAGCCCGGTGGCACAGCGGTTAAGTGAGTGCACTCCACTGCTGCACCCCGGGGTTCACAATCCAGGGCGCGTATCAATGCGCCACTTGTCAAGCCGTGCTGTGGCAGCGTCCCATATAAGGTGGAGGAAGATGGGCACGGATGTTAGCCCAGGGCCGATCTTTCTCAGCAAAAAAAGAGGAGGATTGGTGACAGAGGTTAGCTCAGGGGTAATCTTTCTCACACACACAAAAAAAAGCAGCAGCAGATGAAATTAATTTTGATGATATTTTATGTAATTTAATATATCCAACACATTCTCATTTCAGCATGTAATTAATATAAAAAATAATTGAGATATTTTACATTCTGGTTTTGTATTAAGTCTTTGAAATCCTATATTTATTTGATACCTACAGGCCATCTCAGTTCAGACCAGCTGCATTTCAAGTGCTTGGGAGCCCCATGTATGTTGGACAGTGCAGCTCTAAGAGCTTGTACTTGTGAAGGAACAGATAAATTAATATGATTTAGTTATTGAACGATGCCCTCCCATATTCCAAGCATAATTCCAAGCAGTGATAGATTAACATACAACAAACTAAAAAGACACGTATTTTTCTCCTTTAAACCTCTGTGTGATAGACTTGTTTGGGGACGATGATTTGATCCTAAGAAGACCAATGTCTGTAAAAGATGTCAGACAACTTATTTCTCCTAGTAGAGTTGTATACAAGCTATACATGTAGAACTAACTATGTGTAACTATGTAGAACTCCGTGTAAACAGTAGATGTCTGTGTATCAGTGATGTAATGATAACTTGATGAAGAGAGACAACAATCCTAGTCCTTGGAATCTGCAAATAATGTCCATAAACCACTGGTTGTGAATCCCTCTCCAGATTTCCTGAATAAGAATCTTGATCGACAGACTTTTTTTTAAGCTCTGTATATGATTGTGATATGTACCACTGGTTCAGCCCAAAGTGTTAGTAATAATTTAATTTTGAAAAGTAATAGTTCTGTCATGATTGGTTGTTTAATTTAGTTTTTAAAAAAGTTTACCATAATGAGAGCTGGAAGGAAGCCATAGATCATTAGTTAACATAGGCTGTAGTGTCTTTGTTAAGTTAGAAAAGCTGAGGGTTCCTCTGAAAAATGAGAAGAAACTATTCCCCAATGGTAACATACCCATTTAAAACAGGAACTAAAATTGCTGTTACTGTCCACTGGGGATATAGGAGAACAGCCTCTAGGGTGAATCAAAGATTGTGTTTAAGCTGCTGACTATGCTATGCTATTCATTTTTTTTTTTTTTTTGCTGAGGAAGACCTGCTCTGAG